TCCGGCGGTCTCGTTATCAAGACTTTTTGCGATTTGTCATTTTTTACCTCCTTTTTTGCAAAAGATCGACAAATTTTGTCCTACTTTTTAATCCGAGACGTATGGACCACTCGGATTGAAACTTCTTGCATCTGGCAGAGCATCAATGCCACTTGGTCCCATAAGAAAACATTTGGCCTTATTTCATTTTTTACCACTTTATATCACTTTTTATCGCAACAAAACGTACTATTTCACGTATGGAAGATCATACCGGCGGCTACAGGGATGGGGCACGAGGGGCCTCCGCCCGAGGTCTTATAGAGTAGGAAGTGGGGGAGGCTAACACCCTTCCCCCGGGTTGCATGCAAGCTGGGATGTGTCCCGTTGAGTACTCGCGTGATCCAGGAATTTCCCAAGTAGCTTAGGCGGGTGTGGGGTTTTAGTGTGCAGCCATCGGAGTCCCATATAACCTCGCCCCCCCCCCCCCCCCCCCCGGGACGCCGAGGTATGCGTAATGCATTTCCCCACATTTTCACAGATGAAAAAGGAACTCTACCGGATACTCGCGCTCTGATTGGTCGGAGTTTTCTATTAATATCTCCATAACGGAGCCTCGGACAACATTTTCGCTAAGGAAACTCACCAGTTCTAGATATAATTGCTTAAAGTATGAAATACTTTCTATTTCCTTTATATTGAGTAATATATTAAATATTTATTTCCTTTATATTAAATTATGTTAAATAATCTTTTCGTAGGTGGCGCAAAATTAAAACTTACCTAAATTCAGAATTACCAAACTTGATTTAACTTTCTGTCAGAGGAACAAAACATATGCCCTTAAATTATTGCCATCATTATATCTACTTTATACATCATATACATTAACACTACTCCATATCGCCAAGCCCACCAAATATTATCCCAAATATAATTACCAGTAATCAATATTTCCACCCCCAGGCCCCGCAAAAAAGAATGCCCAACACCTACTCAGACCGTATTTTCGTGTAGATAGCATATACAATAACTGTATGCAATATTGCCCCCCTCCCGCATCGCTAAAACAAATACATCAAACCCTCTCACACTGTATTTCCACGTAGAGTATACATGTATACATTAACAGCATTCAATATTGCCGTCCTCATTCAAAAAGTAACTCAACCAGGAATTAAAAGTTTTTAATTTTGCGCTGACTACGAAAAGGTATTTAACATAATCTAATATAAAGAAAATAAAAATTTAATATATTACTCAATATAATTTAATATAAAGGAAATAGAAAGTATTTCATACTTTAAGCAATTACATCTAGAACTGGTGTATATTTATATAAATTAACTAGAAATTATTTCATACTTTTTAGTGCAATTTTAATACTTTCACGAAGTCAGTTATATTTTTTTTCCAAAAATTATTTTTCTCTGTGAACAAAAATATCTTGCGAAGGACTTAATACTTGTCCTTCTAATGTAGTTTCCCCCTTAAAAATGCAATGGTAATTATACAGAAAAGACTGTTCAACACCGATTTCAATGATTTTAAAATATGTTATCAAATTCATTATTCTGAACAACTTTTTTCTGTACATGTTACCACTGGAGACGCTTAGCTTTCGAGATATTCATTAGACTTTTGATAATATCACATTGAAGCCTGCCTACTTGGGCGCGTCCGTGGTTGTGTATCAGACTGTTGTTTTTCTACTATCCTATCTTGGATTATTAAATAGCCGAGAGAAAGGTTTACCAAATGATTATTTGTTAATTATCTATATTATTCAATCAAAAGTATGTTATGTATTTCTCGAAAACTAAGCATCTCCGGCGGTAATATATACAAGAAAAAGTTGTTCAGGATGATGAATTTAATAACATATTTCACAATCATCAAAATCGGCGTTGAGCACTCTTTTCTGTATAAGTACCAGTACAATAATTAGAAGTAAACATTTTATTGCATGGATAGATCTATTTTAAAGTTGGTAAATTTAATTACATTTTCACAATTGCGACTACGAAGTAGTATACAGTAATTACAAGCTACATACTCTATAGTTACCCAATTTCATGACTTAAGATCATGAGTGCATTCGAATTATACAGTAATTACTGCGTGGTTATAATAGTGTACTGATGTGTTTAAAATCTACGTTTTCAATTTTTGTGCTATATCTTCAAAACTATGAGAATGGCAGAATACACATGAAAATTTGACTAATAAAGTGCAAAAAAGACATAAAAATGCATAATTTCTCTATTTTATAATTTTACTTCATCAACTTCTAATACTTCATAACCGAAAAATATATTGGAATTTTTTTTGTGGAAAAGTTGTTTGTTTGTTATACAAAAGATTCTAATTCATATTTTTAAAAAAGAAACATCATTTGTATGGTAAGCAATATCTGTAATGATTTCCCCTTCTTTACAACTTTATATCTCTTGTATAATTTGTCATTCACAGCTTACCAGGGTTTCACTTCTTTTTTACTATATACAGGGTGAGACACTTTAAATAGGCCTCCTGAATAATTCGCTTACTTTTAGCAACAGAAGAAAAAGTGTCGAACAAGAGTTGATTTACTTCGAGGGCTACGTAACGTGGTGTCAATAACTTTTTTATCGGTGGAAGCGTAGAGGAGACGTAAGGGTTGACTCTGTTTTCTTAAATAGAATGATATAGTCTCTTATACATATTCTGATAGAACGTTTTAATACTAATACAATGACCTATAGTTGAAGGTCATTCAAGGTTACACAGGCTGACTGTAATGGAAAACAAATTGTTTTAAGACACTCTTCAAATACTTCATTAATTTTCTTATCTGTGTACTAACTACTACAGCAAATGTTCAAAATGATGACCTCGAACTCGAATGCGTTTTCTGAAACGTGTTAATGTACAAAACATTGCACGATGAACTTCATTTGGATCGATTGCAATGCAAGCTCTTCTTCAAACTCTAAATCATTAAATCCGGCCGGCTCGCTCTCCCGATTTAACACCCATGGATTTTTATTTATACGAACAGTCAAAACAGCTAATATACAGCGAAATGGTAACAACCAGAAAAGATGTGAAGAAGCGGATAAGAAGTGGTTGCATTGTAATCGATCTAAATGAAGTTCATCTTGCAGTGTTTTGTAGATTAACACGTTTTAGAAAACGCATTTAAGCATTGAAATAATTTATTTTTCATTACAGTCAGCCTGTGTAACCTTGAATGATCATCAACTATAGGTCATTATATTAGTATTAAAACGTTCTATCAGAATATGTATGTAAAGAAAGGAAGCTTTCTTCAAGTCAAATTGGCCGCGTTTGTGGCCGCGCTTGTTGACTACCTCAGCGTGTCCTCTGCTGTTATGGATACATCGATGATGTAAGAGAGCACATGGGCAAAAATCAAGATATTCAAGTGACAGTTTTAGATAGTGAGACCATAATAAACAGTAAACAACAAACCCGAGAACAGTTACGGAGAATAGACTTTAATTGTCGTTTCTCTTCCTTTTAGGTAATAGTAATTATTTTGTAAATTTTTAAATATTGTATGTATCATGTGTATGTAAAATAATATCTCTTCCTTTTAGAGCAACACAATTATCTATTTTCTTGGAAAGTTCTCGATTATTACCTTTTGTCTTATATATATAAGAAACTATATCATTCTATTTAAGAAAACAGAGTCAACCCTTACGTCTCCTCTACGCTTCCACCGATAAAAAAGTTATTGACACCACGTTACGTAGCCCTCGAAGTAAATCAACTCTTGTTCGACACTTTTTCTTCTGTTGCTAAAAGTAAGCGAATTATTCAGGAGGCCTATTTAAAGTGCCTCACCCTGTGTAATATACTGCGCAATAAAATTATTTATCAAAATTTGGTCATTTTTCAAATACGCATAACTCCGTCAGTTTTCATTGTATGAAGACAATTTTTTTTTATTTTGTAGGTAATTATCTGTACTTTAAGAACAATTAATACCATATGTATGCGAGTGGATGCCGCATACCTCCATGTTCTAATAACAACCATGTACTTTTTTTAATAAAAAGTCTGATAGCTTGACGCATTATCTGGATCGCACTGATTTTTTTCTGAAATAACACACCAATCATTACAAAGTGCATAGTTTAACAAACAAAAAAAAAGAAATCCGTACGATTTTTTTGATCAAGTTAAGCCAGTTTTAAGTTATTCGTACGCTTTTACGGCCAGAATCAGCATTAACCGATGCGTATTGATCGGACTTTACGTATCATTTGGCTCTAAAAAGGGTTGATTATGTAGTCTATATGTCAAATTTTTCACATCGGTTGTTAAACTGTGCACTTTGCGATGGTTTCTGTGTCATTTCCGAAAAAAATCAGTGCTGTCTAAATAACGCGTCAAGCAATCAAATTTGTAAAAAAAAGAAGTACTTGGTTGTTATCAGAACATGGAGATATGCGGCATTGACTCGCATACGTATGGAATTAATTTTTTCTTAAAGTACAGATAATTACCTACAAAATAAAAAAAAAAATTCTCTCAATACAATGAAAATTGACAGAGTTATATAAATAATTTATAAATAATTTTGTCCCACACTGTATATATCCATTTTTTCGTAACTCAATTTATATTTATATCTAAATTTATTTAATCATAAAATACACTGAAAATAGTTACCTTTTAACTAGTTTTAATACACTTCAATTTTAATTATAAAGTAAGTGGAGATATGATTCTCTCACTGCATCATTACGTGTATAAATTTATTTAATTTCTGTTTACTCTTCATCTACATCTTAAGAAATTCCATTTACAGTCAGTGTAATAAGTATTTACACAGGAACCATTTATTTTAAATTGATTGCTGTACAAACACTTCTTACACTGACTGTATATTTTAAAACTTTCTTTAAATTTCTACATACCAATTGCTTTCTTCGCAATTTTAATGATATCATTAAAATGTTTTACTCTTTCTATGAAAATTGTTGAATATATGTACTAGTAATTCATACCTTTAATGTGCTATCACCAGCTGCAGTTGCTCTGAGTTCATGAGGATATGTAGTAGTAAATGTTGGAGAAGAGAATGAGAAATGTAGAATAGATGGTTCCATTTCCGAGTCTATAACAAGCTTACTATGCCTTGCAGTCAATGGTCGCTTTTTATGTGTTCTGCATGCTAATAAATAAAATAACACTCCTCCAGCAATAATACAAAATCCAACCATTGGACCCAAAATTGTCAAAATTAATTTAATTGCGTAATCCTCTTCAACGGCATCTACAAATTATATATTATTTCTTTACAAATAATATATACAAAATAGAAACATAATGTAATACCATATTTGCTTACCACCATTATAACCTTGTAATACAGGAAACGGTCCACCATTACAAAAATCTGTCTGACAACACTCAACATAATATTGCACACCACTTAAGGATCCAGTAACATGTCTCTTCTTAGTACTACCATTTTGATTGGTATGTTGCGGTTGTTGTTTGTTGCATATTAGTAGCATCTGATCTATCGATGAAGTACATCCTCTACTTACACTTTCCGTACCATCAGATTGTCTCACCTTAGATTTCCAACACTATTAAATACAAGTACAAGTATTAATATGTCTTCTTTGTTTATCTCAGTTATAGTCCATTCAGTAATTCAAGAGATATTACAGTAACTGCATTGTAACAGATGTCAGTATATAAGCAGTCAGGTCCTTCACAAATATGACATTTGAAACGTTGGTATCCAGATGAATTCTCATTAAGATCGATAATATTTATGGGTTTTTGTGGTTCTTCGCTTTCAAGAGAAAAGTCATGTTCCGATAAAGTAAACCTCTCCTTTTCTCCTAAAAATAAATCCTATTCGGTATTGAAATATTTTAAAACAATCCAAACATTATTTAGTACATATAAATGTGCATTTATTTACATGCACAAGTATTAAATTGAGAAAAGCCGAAAACAAACTAAGATGAATAATAAACAAACATTAGACAAGATTTTTGTAAAATCTATGGTAGATTAATACAAATATTTTACATGTCAGTACAGAACATTAAACAGAAAGGAAATAAAGTTTTTATGTTTAAATTACTATTGAGTTTTAATTCGTATAAATTATACTTTAATTGAAAAATGTGTTGCCCACCTAGACATAATTTAAATGTCAGTGATAGTATAAAATACATGATAAACATTGAATCCGCCATTGCCATGCACATTGGATAACTGAAATCAAATTGGCACTTTCGAATTTTCTTTTTATGTTCTCATATCTGTAATGTATCGAAACTATCTTTTACTTCTATAATGCTCTGAAGAAAAATTTAAGATATGTGCAATCGCCATTGAATTGGCGGTATTTTATTTTCGTGTTAGAAAAAAAGAAACATTTACAGGTGGCGTTGTTATCATTTTATCCTGTTCACAATGGATGCATTTACGTTAGATTACGTCGTTCGTTTTAGCTTTATGAATGCTTGCAAGAACATTAATGACGTCACTGCTATGCTATATCTTGTGCTTACAAACGCATACTTTATTAAGATAACAGAGCATAAGTATAAGGTTTAAGTGCACGAACAAAACGAAACTTTTTATGAATATGTATCTACAGTGGCAGGTATGACCACATATACCTATATTATTGGGTGCTTCGACCATATATACTTATAGGCCGGTTGGCCGGTATTCACAGTCGCAATTTATTTCTAAGCTGGCCTTAAGGGTGCGCAGGTGTTGCGAGTCCGTGCTGAGGGTTTTACTGGCGTTCACGCCGCACGTGACAAGATTATTAGAACTGCGTGCAACTTAGTCAGGAATAAGTTAATTTAAGATAAATTAAGAAATGTAATATTAACTTTATTATAACTGTTTGAATATAACTAATTTAACACAAACATTGAATTTTTTTACTTTAAATACAAACTTTTACAATAGACGTCTAAACTGGTTAACAGTCGCTATGCAAGTGAGTATTAACAAATTACTTTAAATAAAATGGAATAAAAAAGAAAACGAAATACCGTAAATACAAGAAAATCCTAATTAGCGCTAAACTAACTTCAAACAGAACTGCCAAACGCAAAGGCTCATTCACATTCCATAACAACGGGCAAACGGGTCTCCACTGCCATCTAGGAGTGACATGGGAATTAATTTATCTCTATCAAAAGTAGCGGTACGCAACACCTCTCCCCTTATACAAAAAAAATTATTACCTTTGAAAATAACTGTTTTCAATTTAGAGCTCTCATTCACCATATATATTCATCATATATATATGCATACAAAGTATGTAGGGAAATTAATAAGGGTGCGCAGGAGATCCAGCACAACTCCGAGTTGACTTCAGCGACAGTTGCGGAGAAAGTAGGAAGCTCTGGGACAAGGATAGATAAATCCTTGTCTCTCCAATGATGCTGTAACAGAAAGGGAGATACATCAATCGCAGGAAAGACAAAGACAGAATGATGTCAAACGTTTGCGATTTCCGAAACAGTTATTGTAATTTTATGAGGCGAGGAAGCGCCCTTTCCGGCTGATTTTTTTTTTAAATTGTTCCTTATAAAATTCCGTTGCGGCGGATAGTTACACATTTTGCAATTTCACTTTTGAAACGTGCTAAAAATACGTTCAAAGGTAAAAAAAATTTTTTTTTTTTTTTTTTTT